GCAGGACTTTGTAAGGAAACGAGCACTCCCCACTACTAACCATCTGTTTTGATGTATGGTTAAATGCCTATGCGAATACGTATTCATAGTCTTGAATCAATTGGTCTTTACACAGAGACATGGCGCAAGCCTTCGCATTTAAGTCAAATTTAAGGGTGAACGGATTTGTCTACGTTTTTTTTCCTCTGATGAGACATCCTGATTAGATAAGTGAAGATGACAGAGAGCTAACAATGAGACCCCAGGCAAGAATTAAATAGCCCACTGGAGACCTCGTTGCAAGCCTTAAACAAATGCAATTAATTGGTTGGGTGTTGATTAACTCGTTTCTTTGGCTGACAATTGCAACTATCATTTGGCGCCCCGAACTATAAGCGTATAACCAAGCGTTTTGAGCTACGGAATCATCACATTTGATGAACTTACTACTGCTAGGTGAAAGAAAATATTTAATCAAATTCAGAATATGCGAAAGTTTGAAAAAATCTCAAGTCAGTCAGAATTCTGTTCTTCTTGACATGACATCAATACTCAGCTCGAAAAGTAAAACAAAATCAAATGATTGGGGAATTTGATGGACAGTGTTTCGCAGAGGAGGAAAAACTATTTCAGAATATATACAGCATTTTGTATAATGAAAATGCAGGCAAATGAGCGTGAGGAAGCAATCACGGGATTTACATAACAACCTAATACTATTACAGTCAGTTGTAACAAAATTTTTCAGGAAGCTAAATAGATGGTAATCGAAAAATTGTTGAATTCGTACGCTACAGTCAGCCTTTATCAGTTTCCAGTTACAAATTCGCAGATTAATTTCATACCGTACGTAACCCATTTCGACGTGTTCGTGACAACAGTACTCCTTCAGCAGCTCACTTAAACATTTCATGAGTATGAACTTTCAAATACATATTCTTAACTGCACGCTCATACGCTACACTTTAGCTGCGTAATTTTTGAAGCCATAAAATAAATTTTTGGTCAAACTCAAAAATGCTTCAATGATTTGCTCCTTTTCTTCCAATATCGTCTCTCTTTAAACCGAATATTCTTATGCGTAATATATTATTATACATGACATATTTTTGAGGGAGCAGTCAACTTTACAAGAATGTCTAGAACACTTTGAATCATTAATGAATTTGTTCAAATTTGCCATAAATCTGTTTTTTGGATTCGCATTACATTCCAACTCTATCACAACTAGGATCATGTTAAAATCTCTCATAAGGCTTAATAATTTATATCACTTTTTAAAGTTCATTAAAACCTTCTCTTTGAATTTTTAGTTGTTTACTTTGTTTTTGAAGTAAATTAGATTTTTTCTCTTTGTGGCTTACGAATTAGAGGTTTGAAAAGCTCCATATTATACGGTTTTGCTGAAAAAGTTCTTCTATTGTAAAGAAATTTTGCTTCTTATAATTTTTCTTCGTCATTGTAAGCATCCGCATCTTAGATTTCCAGTAATCTTTAAGTCTAAAAATGGCGCTTGAAACACAACCTTAAGAATTAAGCTCCTTTAAAACTAGCTTAAATCCAAAAATTTCATTTTATTTTTGCTCAGTTATCTTGCAGATCTTTCTGCCATTTGACACTAGTTTTAACTGATTTGGACAATCTCAAGCACTTTCGGCAAGGTGGCAAGGTGCTCGGCTTGAAGGGCGAGGCTGGCAACGTATATCCCAAATGTTTGTAGCGTTCTTTGGTAACAAGCGGGAATAGTTCGTTA